GAGGAGGTTGTAGTTATATGATCACCTCTTGTCATCATTAACTATCGTGTGATGTACTACCCATAGGTAGTGCCGTGACTAATTAAATACATTAGTTCAATCACTTGTCGATGTCACACTGGTTCTGTTTAGAGTGCCAGTAGCGATAGTGTAATAACAGATTGTATCCAACCTCGGCGTCTTCCGCCTTAACACAACAACACACTTCACCTACGGTTCTATTTGTATGTCTTCATCTTCACTACGATGTCTAACATGTAGTGTGTTTCTCCACACATCTTCGAGGGGGTAGCTAGCCACACACTTTATCTGAATATCTGTGCCGTGCATGCGGAAGGGGTGTAAAACATGAAATTTTTGTGAAACCATCAATCTGCTAAATACATACAAACAGAGATTTGATGACATTAGATTGATATGTGATGATATCTTACGGTGTGAAATACCCAACCTTTGTTGGTGCCATTGCCTTGTGTGATAATAACGCCAACACGGATATTTGATGGGACGATGCACGTCTCCAATGTGAACGGATATGGAGGAGGTCCAGAGGTATTGTTAGTGAGTATGTTAGGTAGGTGAGGGCGAGTAGCCAGAATGTTAGGAGGTATAGCAAGAAGGGTTTGCGGATGCAAAAGAGGAATTTGTTGATAACTGAGAGGAGGTTGGTGAAGAGTTTTTCATTATTTTCTTCATGGTTAAGTAGTTTGTTGAGTTCTTTGGAGAATGCTACGCATTGGCGGAGCCACTCGGATTTGTTTTTTTCGCCATCTTTGTCGTAACCATTCAATGCATAGTGACTGTAGTATAGGAAGCCGAATTTGAAGAAAAGGGGTAGGACGTCAGCGCATTGGACGATGGTGGGACAGAGACATGACTTGGTGGAGTGGCAATTGTCAGTGCAACTATGATTTTGATGATGCTTACACTTCAGTTTTTGGAAATCCTTCTGTAACTGTTTAAGACCTTGTTTCAAAGCGTGTGTGAGATAAATTATCCATTTCAAATAAGTTTCCGCGAAGGATGCTGAGATGATGGGATAGATGTTCGAGGCTAGGGGGTCGAGGTACTTGCCACAGGTTTTGTCATTGTCACATTCACTGTAACGGAGACTGTAGAGGGTGGCCTCAGGAGTGTGAGAGGCACCGTTATGGTCACTTTTGCTGCCAGCTAGGGTTTTGAGAGCGTCAGTCATGGAGCAGGAACCATCGGAATTCCATGGTATATTCTCGGCTGACTTTTTGATGGCCTCAGCGACCTTAGGGGAACTACTACCACCATTATTCATATTCTCACCAATAGAGAAGAAAAACCCAAAGAGGTCACCGACTGTACGGGGGGTACGTAGGCTGCAGCACATTAGACATATGAATATGTTGCAGAGACTGACGGAGTTACGGTTAGTTTGGGTGAAGTACTCTACTATCCAATAGATATAGTTACCAGTGCGATCGCTGTGTGTTAACATTTCGTGATTGAATCCCATAGGGACGGGGCAATATTGATTGAAATTGCGATGGGAAACATGGTCACTATATGGTACAGGATCACTACCACCTGTGGGTACAAGTTGACCATTCTTCATCTCACATTTCCTATTTTTAAGTGATTGGCATTGGAATGGTGTAAGAACGTCACATAGGAAAGCTTGGAGGGGGGAGGGATGGGTGTCGGATTTGCCGCATTGTTTGGAGTGGATTGAAGGCGTTGGTGATGACATTGTGGAGTGATTTGGTGAGGTGTCGAATAGAGTGAGTATTACATTACGGTTTGAAGTACAATGTAGTAGGTGCGGGTATTTTGTGGGCGAGTAGATGCAGTGGTAGGAGGTGATGAGTGTAGGCGAGGCGCCAATGCGAGAGCATGTGTAGAACGTCGAGTGGTATTGTTAGTGAGTATGTTAGGTAGGTGATGGCGAGTAGCCAGAAGGTGAGAAGGAATAGTGGGTAGTGGAGTGAGTAGGTGAGTTGTCGAATAGAGTGAGTAATAGATTACGGTTTGAAGTATGTGATGTCATATGGTTGTGTGTAGTTGGTAAGTAGTACCAGTGGTGTAAGCACGGCAGTGCGTATGTGTGACCGTAGGTGTAGAACGTCGAGTGGTATTGTGAGAGAGTATGTTAGGTAGGTGATGGCGAATAGCCAGAAGGTGAGGAAGAGGTTGGTTTCCTTGAGGAGGTTGTAGTTGTATGATGGATGGTAGTAGTGGAGTGAGTGAGTAGATGATATCATGTGGTTGTGTGTAGTTGCTGAGTAGTACTAGTGGTGTGAGCACGGCAGTGCGTAGGTGTGACAGTAGGTGTAGAACGTCGAGTGGTATTGTGAGTGAGTGTGTTAGGTAGGTGATGGCGAGTAGCCAGAAGATGACGAAGAGGTTGATGACTGAGAGGAGGTTGTAGTTATATGATGGATGGTAGTAGTGGAGTGAGTAGGTGATATCATGTGGTTGTGTGTAGTTGGTGAGTAGTACCAGTGGTGA